GAACTGTCACCATCTCAAGATGCTCAGTTTACGAAAGGCAGGTCACACACAGAACAGGCCTTTGAACCTCCCAGACAGTGTTCTGTCCACCATACCAGGGAACCCACCCCCCATTATTACTTCCGGAAGTGCAGGGGGGGGGAAACAAAACCAATCATGGCAAAGACTTGAAAAAACAAACAGAGCAAGACATCATAAGATTAAAGAAGTTACTCCATCTTTATGTTCATCTGACATCCCCTCAGCGACCCAGGCCTCCTTTATCCTCCACATAAAACTGCAGCAGTTTCCCTGAAACTTGTCAGTACTCAGCAACCCCTCAGACAGGTCGAATCCTCGCTCTCAAGAACACACATTCTGTCCGGCAGCACGTTATTATTCCCGGAACTACCAACTTCAATAAAAATTATGTAGTTATCCCTATCAAGAAGACTTTCGGCTCTGCAAAGAGAAACATTCCAGCTTCCACCGACCATTTCGCTTTGTGCCGCAAACGAGAAATGTGACAGCTTCTGTGTCAACCATGTTACCTACCACTGTAGGTCTGCTATCTTCCATCAGCATGGTGGGGTAGGACCTCATTCCTGCCTCACTCTCCCGAAGCAATGTTTTGGTTTAACCTTAGGTCAACTTCAGACTTTTATTCTAATGTGTTAGGTGAGCTTAGATGATACTCTCCGGCCCCCTAACACTTTTACCTTAATGGCAGTGATGGCGAAGGCTATTTTCCGCCGCCCATCGATGTTGGTGTTGAGTACTCGCAGGATGTGCTGGAACTTTTCGGGGATCACTAGAGACTAAAAAAAAACACGGGCAATTATCAAGACAGGCAACCGCTCAACCGGAAAGGTCACCGAGGCAGGGTCGGATCCGGTGAGCACTGCCACTGCTAAGTTCTTACACAACTATTCCAGACACCAGGGATCGCCACGGAGCGCGGGAAAGCGCAACAACTGACATGAGGGTGAGCGTCGCCCGCGGCCACAAGTACCCTGAGCAGGGGAGGCGGGGGGACCCTACACACGGCCAAGCTCCTGGCAACGCTGATGGGTCCGGGTAGTGACCCTTCATCGGGACACTGCTCCCAGGAATTTCACATCCGAGCTCGTCCCCTCCCGGACCGCGCGCCATCGCTCTAGAAAACGCCGCAGACCCGCAGCACAGGGCATTCTCTGCGCCCTGACGGAAACCTCTCCCGGCCCCGGCTTCGATGTCGCCGGATCTCGGCGGATCTCGGCACGGATCGCGCTCTTACCATGGCGGCGGCACAGATGGCGGCGTGTAGGCCTCCGGTGGAAGAGGGAACGGAAGTGACGTATGAGCCTTATATACCTTCCAGGAGGAAGAGGCGGGGCTTTCCTGGAGGACCGCTTCCGGAAACTGTTTCTCTCCCCGCCTCTCCCGAAGGGAGGAGTTGTAGTAAGACAGTTTGGTTGTGATGGGTGCTATGACTTCCGGTCCGGTCTTTTTTGGCGTCCTACGGTACTTATGTGGGCGAGGAGCGAAGGTTCCGGAGCAGGGTTGTGTTGGAGACGTTCACCTTCCCGTTTGCACTAGACCGACGTGATCAAAGCCTAACAGGGGAGACTAGAGCCAATCACGTTAACTCAAATATCTGAGAACATTTTTTGCTCCATAGAAAAGACATTCCAGGACTTGTGGCTTTGCTTCCTGAAACGACTCTCCGAGACTGACAGTTGCCGGAAGTGAGGGTGCGGGGGAATGGCAGCAGCAGCGACCATGGCGGCTGCTGCCCGAGAGCTGGTGTTGCGGGCTGGGGCCTCAGATATCGAAGAGGAGGAGGGCCCACTGGTGAGAGCACGGGGCTGTTTGTTCTCCGGAGTGTCGTCATGTCGTCCCTCTCCTCAGGAAGGCGTAGGCAGCGTTCAGACACAAAGCTCGGAGCCGTCCTGCTACGGGTGATGGTGACCAAGCCTTCCTAGGAACCAAAGTGGATGAAACCCGAGTCCCAGGACAGTGTCAGCTTCCTGTTCACGTTTTTTAGTAGAAATGAGAATATAGTGTAAAAGATTAAGAATGTGGCTTCTGGAACCTGATTGCCTGAGTCCCACTTCCAGCCCCATCTCTTGAAAGCTATGCTGTTTTCTGTGCCAACGCTTCCCACACCTATAAAGTGGAGACGTTATTAGGACCTACCTTGTAGGTGGTCGTTAGGATTAGCCGAATGAGTATGTTTGAGGTGCCCCTGACACATGGGTAAACACTGTGTAAGCTGACAACTTTAGCCTCTGAAACTCCCTCAGGTAGATCACCTGGGATAGCAGGAGACTGAGGCCCTAAATTCAAAGACAAGTTTGACTAATCCTAGTTTTTTTTTTTTTCTCATTGGAACAACTCCAGCAACTCCAGAATTGCCTGATATTCTCAGTAGCCCAAAAATGTAGATTTGAGTGTATGAGAATCATTTACCCACTCACTACAGCAACCTCCCCAAAGCACCCCTGTATCACTTGCCTGACTAGAGATATCCTGTTGTATTTTGTTATCAACACCTATTTTTGTATCCCACATTCATCAACCTGTCCCTCTTCAGGGGGGTGTTTCTGGACTCCAAGAGCCCCTACAACTTGGGGAGTTGGATATCACCTCTGATGAGTTCATCTTGGATGAAGTGGATGGTAAGTAGTGACGGGGTGCAGACAAAGTATTCTTTAGGAATATATTACATAACCCCAGTAGATGATCCTCTATGGTTTTTTTTAAATGTACCTATAAAGTTTAATCTATGAATTGAAAAGATTTAATTTCTAATTTAGGCTTAGTAAGAAATGAACAGTAAGAGTTGAATGGTTATAGCAGTACACTATAATAAAGTTGCTGCATTGCTTTTTGATTTTGGGGGTTAGTATTAAGTAAAAATAAGACTGTTTGAACAGAAATGTGCAGACAGCTAAGACAGAGTGATTGAGAGGCAGGAACAGCACATACCATAGAGCAAAGATGTTTCCTATCCAAGGCCGGGCGAGAGGTTCTTCAGCTTCTCAGGATGCCACACGTTTTAGATCTTACAAGTCACACTTTAATATTTTTGATCTGTGGTTGAGTAGACCATGAGGAGCTGAAACAGCAGAAAGTCCCACCAGGCAAAGCAGCTGTGCCTATAACTGGAGAGGATGGGGGCTGGAAGGGAAGGGGAGATGGGTGTGGTTTGTATGTGCCCAGTGTGGGCAGAGGGAGGTGTAGCAAGGGACTCTAAATATCAACTTGTTTCCAGTTCACATCCAGGCAAATCTGGAGGACGAGTTAGTGAAGGAAGCTCTCAGAACGGTGAGGCTCTCCACTGCACTGATCTCCCCACCTCCCCTTACTCGGTGTCACCTCACCTTGGTGGCTCCCCTCCAGCCAGTCACCCAGTCTATTCTGGTGTCCTTTCACTGTGGCTTCTTCCTGACTTTGTCATTCCCCCAGGGTGTGGATCTTCGACATTATTCAAAGCAGGTGGAGCTGGAGCTGCAGCAGATTGAGCAGAAATCAATCCGGGACTGTATCCTCCAGCAGAGGGAAAAGATGGGTGCTATTGACATGGGGTTTTGGGGTGTGTGCTGCAGGTAACCCCCACAGGGATGTTGTCTCTCTCAGGTCACTTTGGGGAGAACTTGGGGTCAGGTACTGCAGATCTGCAGAGCTCTGTGTTCAGTGTGAAGCCCTTGACTTTTGTGGGTCAGATATCCAAGAGAGTGAAAACATAGCATCTCTGCACAATCAGATCACAGCCTGTGATGCCGTCCTGGAGGTGGGTGGCCCTCACCTGTTGCCTTCGGCTCTTCCTTTTTTTTTCCCCCCAGTATTTTTTTGTCCCCCTTGGACAAATGAAAATCTCCCATTCTCCTTGGTTGCTGGATACTGGAGTATTCGCTCAGAGACTTGGGTGACAGACTTGTCCCCGACCCCCATCCACCGGAAGTCATTCCCACAATCCTTTCTGCCCTCCATACAGCGCATGGAGCAGATGCTGGGAGCTTTTCAGAGCGACCTCAGCTCCATCAGCTCTGAGATCCGGACCCTTCAGGAACAGTCAGGGGCCATGAACATCCGGCTTCGTAACCGACAGGCAGTTCGGGGAAAACTTGGGGAACTCGTCGATGGGCTGGTGGTGCCCTCTGCTCTGGTCACGTGAGTCACTGGTTTGAAGGGTCATAATGTCCAGAGCAGGTGGCTGGCCTGGGTTACCTACACAGTTAAAAACATAGGTCTTCAGGCTGGGGTTGTCAGGTGCCATGTAGAAACCAGGTGTTCCCTCCTCTGCCTGTAATCACATGCTTGGGAGAAGGGAGATAAATTCAAAATATAAATACATAAAATAACCAATTAAAAATAAAACTCCTAACCTTGCTTTAGCTGCCATAGGCTAGGACACAGCTTAGGAGTGATCCAGGGCCACCTGAGGAGGTGTGGCTCAGAGATGAAAACTTTGTGCATATTATCTGGAAGGCATGAGAGCACAGAGAAAGGAAGAAATGACACGTGAGATGTTTTAAGGGCCTGTTTCGGGACTGACGAGTCCCCCTGTCTAACCACTCCCATCCTCCCTTGCTCCTCAGAGCAATTCTGGAAGCTCCAGTGACAGAGCCCAGGTTCCTGGAGCAGCTACAGGAGCTGGATGCCAAGGCAGCTGCAGTCAGAGAGCAGGAGGCGAGAGGCACCGCTGCCTGTGCAGATGTCAGAGGCGTGCTTGACCGGCTCCGAGTCAAGGTGGGGAGTGGACTGCTTAGAGTCAGCTTCCCAAGGGCTTCACACTGCTTCCCGCTGTGTAGTGCATCGCTGGCTCTCCAGATCCCCGGAAAATCTAAAGAGGCTGGAGATGTGATTCAGTTGGTAGAGTGCTTGCTTAGAATGCATGAGGCCCCGGGTTCCGTCCCCAGTGCTGTGTATGTTGGCATGATGGCACAAGTCTGTTGTCCTAGCACTCAGGAGGTGGAAGAAGAAACAGAGTTTGGGGCCAGCCCCAGATACATGAGACCCTGCCTCAAAAACAAGCAGTGCTTGCTTTGGTATCCTAGATACTAAAGTTAGAACAATACAGAGAAGATTAGCATGGCTCCTTTGTAAGTAAGGGATGACAGGCAAATTGTAAAGCCTTCCATACTTACAAAATGAAACAACCCAGAAAAATAAGGCCGGGCCTGGTGGTGCATGATTATACCCCAGCACTCAGGAGGCAGAGGCAGGCAGACCTCTGTGAATCCCAGGCCAGCAAGGGCTGCACAGAGAGACCGTGTTTCCACAATGAGAGCAGAACTGAAGTATTGTTTTCTTTTCCTATATCATCACCCTGTTCCTGCCATACAGCAAAAGCCTACCCTCTCACGGCCTGTCTGTCTGTCTGTTCCCCACGTCTAGGCAGTGATGAAGATCCGTGAGTTCATTCTCCAGAAGATTTACTCCTTCAGAAAGCCGATGACGAACTATCAGATCCCCCAGACAGCCCTGCTGAAGTACAGGTTGACACCTCAGGATGGGCACAGGGTAGCCTGCGAGCCTCTCAACAGTCCAGCATGGGCATCCAGGGTGTCTGACTTGCCCTGGTCCTTCCAGGTTTTTCTATCAGTTCCTGCTGGGCAATGAGCGTGCTACAGCCAAGGAGATCCGGGACGAGTATGTAGAGACACTGAGCAAGATCTACCTGTCGTACTTCCGCTCCTATGTGGGGCGGCTCATGAAAGTGCAGGTGAGCCAGGCTGGAGGGAGGGGGAGGCGGAGGCGCGCGCGGAGGCGGAGGTCGGGGAAGAGGGCGGAGCTCCCCACCTGCTGGTGGTGGAGAGTGATGGTTCACCTCTGTAATTTTCTCTAGTACGAGGAAGTTGCTGAGAAAGACGATCTAATGGGTGTAGAAGACACAGCAAAGAAAGATATCCTGGAGAGGGGGAGCCTCACATGCTGGGCTCATGGCAGAGACTTCCAGTCTGCAGGCCTGTGTTTCTTTTCTTCTCTTCTCTTCTCTTCTCTTCTCTTCTCTTCTCTTCTCTTCTCTTCTCTTTTCTCTTCTTTTCTAAATACACTGTATAAGTCTTCAGATACAACCAGAAGAGGGCATCAGATCCCATTAGAGATGGTTGTGAGCCACTGTGTGGTTGCTGGGAATTGAACTCAGGACCTCTGGAAGAGCAGTCAGTGCTCTTAACTGCTGAGCCATCTCTCCAGCTCAGGGCTGTGTTTCTTTTCTCATTCTGTGGTTCTTGACCTTTGAGGATGAGAAAGCCAGAGCTTCCTCTCCAAGAAGCACACGCTATTCTGATGGCTTTTCACATTTATTTCACAGGGTTTGTAAAATCTTGACAGCCATTACGGGTGTCAGGAGAAGCAAGGCTCTGGTCTGTAAATGGCGGTCCGGGCCATATTTAGCTTCCTGGGATCCTCAGCCCTTGGGGTTGTTGGGCCTGGTGCAGTTGGTCTCATTGTTTTCCCTGACTCTGATGCTGTTCACGATTCTTCTCGAAGCCATCCCTCCGAAGCAGGAACACCATCTTTACCTTGGGCACCCGTGGTGCTGTCATCTCACCAGCAGAGCTCGAGGCCCCCATCCTGGTGCCCCATACTGCCCAGCGTGGAGAGCAGAGGGTATGTCGAGGCTACCCCTCCGTGGCTAGGGATCAGTTCCCTAAGTGTTAGTTTGGGGGTTCCCTGGCCTGCTGTGATTCCAGAGGTTAGGAGCCATGGACTTAGAGGTGTGCAGAGGCTAGGGGCGTGGCTGTCAGGAGGCAACAGCTGAAGTGGATGTGGGGGCGGCAGCAGCCAGTGGGCAGGGCTTCTCTGTGACCTGTGCCTCCTCTTGAGTGTCTGTTCAGGGTGCTCCTCCCTGCCTGGAGCTTGGGTGTTTGGTCTTGTGAGCTCTCATTACTAAGCTGTGTTGAGTCTCCATATCCACGGGGTCAGTGTGAGACCCACCCGTGTCTCTCTGTCTCGGTAGTATCCATTTGAAGCCCTCTTCCGCAGCCAGCACTATGCCCTCCTGGACAATTCTTGCCGTGAATATCTTTTCATCTGTGAATTTTTCGTCGTCTCTGGCCCAGCTGCACATGACCTGTTCCATGCTGTCATGGGCCGCACACTCTCTATGACACTGGTGAGCTTCCGACTTCCGTGCCTTTCCACAGACAGACAGCAACTTGTGGAGAATGAGTGTTCTCCAAGCCCTGACCCTGGAGCTCCCATCCCAAGTCAGCCCAGGCTTCTGCTCTGGGGAACTTACAGAAGTGTGGTTAGTGAGCAAGTTAGAACGCTCAGATGCTTGTGGACAAGGAAGGAGCTGGTCTCTCTGGCCAGTGCCTTGTCCCCAAAGAAATGTCCATCTGTTTGCCTACAGCCACTGAACAACAAGCTAACATTCAGTTGTCTGCCACAGAAACACCTGGAGTCCTACCTGGCTGACTGCTACGACGCCATTGCTGTTTTTCTCTGTATCCACATTGTTCTCCGGTTCCGCAGCATTGCAGCAAAGAGGGACGTCCCTGCCCTGGACAGGTCACTGAGCTCTGGTCCTTGTGCCTGGAGGCGGTCAGCTTTTTATCTTATGCAAACAACAATGTGCTGACCCTGGCCTCTTCCTCATCTGATGTCCTTCACCCTTATTCCCATTTGTGTGTCCCAGGGGCAGCATTGGTGTCGGGCACACCTACTCACCTGAAGGGTGCTGTGCTCCCCTGAGCAGCCAGCACCCCTAGCCAGCTGACCTCTGATTCTGATTAAGCCTGCAGGTACTGGGAGCAGGTGCTTGCTTTGTTGTGGCCTCGGTTTGAGCTGATCCTGGAGATGAATGTCCAGAGTGTCCGCAGCACTGACCCCCAGCGCCTTGGGGGACTGGACACCCGGCCCCACTATGTAAGGATGAGTGAGGGTAACATGGGGGTCTTGTGGTCACCCTAAGTGGTGGGTTGGGTACTGCTGAGTCAACGTAGGCAGACAACTCCTGTCCTAACTGGGGACAGGAGTTGCAGAGGCAGCTGGGGGTTGTGTCTGCCAGGCAGGCAGGTGTGAGCCTTTTCTTCTTGCTCCGAGATCACACGCCGCTATGCTGAGTTCTCCTCTGCGCTTGTCAGCATCAACCAGACCATCCCCAATGAACGCACACTGCAGCTGCTGGGACAGCTACAGGTGGGGCTGGGCAGGACAGACTTGCCAGCAGTGGGAGGGGCTCTGTCACCTAGCTTTTACTCTGCTGCTTTTGTTTGGCTTTTGCAGGTGGAGGTGGAGAATTTTGTCCTCCGAGTGGCTGCAGAGTTCTCTTCCAGGAAGGAGCAGCTTGTGTTTCTCATCAACAACTATGACATGATGCTGGGCGTGCTGATGGTAAGGCTGCTCCTCCCCGGGGAGTCCCTACAGCTTGTAAGCTCCACAGGAGCTCAGGGCTTTACCCCTGGATCCTGGCAGTGTCTGCAGTGTGGAATGAAGGGGAAGTGCTGGTGACAGGAAAGGGGTTTCTAAGCTCCTGACTCGTCTTGTCTTCCTCAGGAGCGGGCTGCTGACGACAGCAAAGAGGTGGAGAGTTTCCAGCAGCTTCTCAATGCTCGTACACAGGTAGGGCCTGGGTGTGGTATTGGACTGACTTCCGTGTGCAGTCATGATTACAACCCACTGCCTCAATGCTAGTCTGTTTCATTTAACTTTTGCATGGTACTGAGCACTTAGAAGCAAAGTAAAACTATAGCTATGTGAGTATGCGTGTGTGTGCACTATAGTCGTGTGTGTATGTGTGTGCATGCACTATAGCCCTGTGTGTATGTGTGTGCATGCAGGCTCGCACAGGCACATCTGAAGTACATGGAGGTCAGAGGTCACAACTTCTAGGAGTGGGCTCCTTTCTTCCTTCTTCCACCATGTGTTCTGGGGACCAGTGGCAAGCACTCTTCCTGAAGAGCAGCTTATTAGTTCCTGGTTCTGGAAGGAAATCCTTGGGTACATCCCCTGCACCTTGTGACATCACCACCTAAGGTGGAAGGTTCACAGAGGCTGCTGTCTGGTGTGTTATTAGTCATCACTGTCCAGAGTAGGGGTCCTTTGTTCCCCAGAGTTTGACCCTCTGTGGGCTTGCACTTCTCTCCAGGAGTTCATCGAAGAGTTGCTGTCTCCCCCCTTCGGGGGTCTGGTGGCGTTCGTGAAGGAGGCTGAAGCCTTGATTGAGCGTGGGCAGGCTGAGCGGCTCCGAGGGGAGGAAGGTATGCAGTGTTGTCATGACTAGTTAGGGACAGTAGGAGTTAGGGACAGTGTGTGGGGTTCACAGTGTCAGGAGGCAGCGCAGCAGGGAAGATTTGGTTGGAAGAACACCAGGAAAGTCAGGCTTGATGGTAAGCATGGCTGTGCCCTGGGCAGGCCTTGCTGGGCACCAGCCCTGGTTGCTCTGTGCCGGGTGTACAATCACCAGGCCTGGTTGCTCTCTGCCGGGTGGACAGTGGAAGGTCACCAGGTCTGGTTGCTCTCTGACATGCCCTTTCCTCTGCCGTCAGCCCGAGTCACTCAGCTGATCCGTGGCTTTGGTAGTTCCTGGAAGGCGTCAGTGGAGTCCCTGAGTCAGGACGTAATGCGGAGTTTTACCAACTTTCGAAATGGAACCAGCATCATCCAGGTGACCGGCCACTCCCAGCCCTTTGCCTGTGTCCCATGGTTGTCTGTTTCCTTGCTCTTTCCTCTGGGCTCTGCATCACACGAATGTCCTGAAGGCCAACAAGCACTGTGCCTGAGACTCTGGTGAAGCTCTGACAGGTCCAGTCACCATGAGTCTGACCCTGAGTCCCCTCTGTGCAGGGGGCGCTGACCCAGCTGATCCAGCTGTACCACCGCTTCCACCGCGTGCTGTCCCAGCCCCAGCTCCGCGCGCTCCCTGCCAGGGCCGAGCTCATCAATATCCATCACCTCATGGTGGAGCTGAAGAAACACAAGCCGAACTTCTGACTCAGACACACCGGGCCCTAAGCTACCATGGACTCTGCAGGGCCCACACTGTCACCTGGGATCCCTTTCCTGTTCCTGTTGTCTCTAAGGCTTCCACACACCTCACTCCCTCACTCAGCCTCCATTGCCAATCCTCTGCCTCCACAGAGTGTGCCCAAGGCCACTCCCTGGGCTTCTGAGGTGACCTTCATTTCCCAGTCAGCTC